ATAAGAGCATAATCCAATGAATGCATGAATATGGGTGACCGAACGTGGTGTTGGCCAATCTCTAACCTTTTCGATATTCTTGGGGTCGGGTTCTATGCCATCTTTAGAGATAATGTGAGCAAGAAATGTCACCTCAGTTTGAAAAAAATGACACTTATCTGGCCTAAGTTTTAAGCCGGCCTTTCTAAATCTGCTAAAAGCTTCTCGTAAGTTATCCATTTTATCCTGAAAATTCCTGCCAAAAACAACATCATCAAGATAGATTAACACTTTTGTCCAATGTAGTCCATTAAAGACAAGTTCCATTAAACGTTGAAATGTTGCGGGAGCGTTCATTAAACCAAACGACATGACACGGAATTGATATAAACCATCTCCAGTCGAAAATGCTGTTTTTTCTTTATCACTCTCCTCCATTTCCACTTGCCAATACCCACTTGAAATGTCCATGGTGCTAAAGCATTGGTTCTCCGCTAAAGCATCAACTGTATCATCAATGCGAGGGAGTGGGTGCGAGTCCCGTTTTGTAACGCTATTTAGCTTTCGATAATCAACGCAAAATCTAAATGAATTGTCCTTCTTTTTCACCATGACAACGGGGGATGCCCAAGGGCTGTGACTGGGCTCAATAATGTTGTTATCAAGTAGCTCATTAACTTGTGTTTGAATCTCAGTACGCATACAAGGAGAAGTGCGATATGCTCGTTGGCGAATGGGGCGCTCATCTCCTGTTGGAATGCTATGCTTAACGAGATTGGTGCGACCAAGGTCAGATTTGTTTGAGCTAAATAAATCTGAAAATTGTAAGAGAAGATTATTTACCTGATCTGCCTCAGATTGGGTTAAGTCCGATTTTGTAATGTCCACTTTAGGTGACGTTTTCGCTTCTTGATTATAATGCTTCTCAGACTTTTCAGGTGCAGCGGCTAAACAATAAAGTTCCTCATTCCAGTCCATCATAGAATAAAATTGTCCAATAGGTATTCCCGCTGAAACATGCATTCATTCAGTGAAGGCAACTTAAAATAACAGATATTGGGTTTTTCGTTCGTTTGTTATCGGAGTGAATAAGGACAAGATATCTGGAAACAATTTTGTCAATTAAATGCATTGGAAACATATTTTTTCTAAGGATAACAAGTAAAGCCTTGAGGTCACTATGAAAACCTAACCAATTATTATTTATCTTATAAGTTCTATCATCAACTAAAGTACGAATCAAAGAAATTTTGTATGGTAAAGTGCAAAAACTAAAGAAATTTGTGAGTAATCCTGTGAAAGTGTTTTTTTGATACATTGGTTTTGGTGGTTTTTTTTTTTACGTTTGTGCCATGGCGTTTTTTTTTGTTTTTTGATTACGTTGATATGTCTTGCGTATTGACTAGCCCGCAGCCGCTGGTGATTTCCTCCAAGGTAAGCTTTTTTAGATTCCCGAACCAGTTTTTGATTACGGCAATAGTTGCTCTGTTAATCTCTGGTACTGTATTTGGTCGTTGAGGGTACACATGGAGAAATGGAGAAACTGATCAAGCATGATTTTTTGGTGTTGAACTTGTTTTTCAGTCTCGAGATCTTGTTCTACACCACAGGTGGGCAAAGTGCAGCCCGCGGCCTGCCAGTTATTTTTTTTGCGGCCCGCGAAAATGATTTAAAAACCCTCTGTGTGCGGCCCGCCAAGCAACATTGGCCAGAAAGCAACTTGTTTTTTTATGGCCTGACACCTATCATATGTAAAAAGTAAAATAAAACTGAGAATAAATTGATGTAAAAGCAGTTTTTGGAAGCACACTGGAAACAAGAAAAATGTGGGTGCGGCCCTCGGTGTTGAATCAAAAATTCACTTTGGCCCTCCGACTGATTTTTATGCCCACCCCTGTTCTACACTGTCTGCAATTGCTTGCATTTAGCATACCATGGGGACGATGTTCTTATTGACTTTGAATAAACTACAGTACCTCATTCAACGCATCATCTGACGCATCGATATGGTCAGTCAGGGGTCTGTGTCTTTCATTTCAGCTATATCCACCTTCACAGCTTTTCTGCTTATGGCATCGTTTAGGTATTGAACCGATGCGTCTACCATATTATTGGTGCTTTCTATGTTAAATATCACACATAATATGTTCTTAAAAATTGTGGTTGCAGATTGAAAAGAGTGCTCTGTTTGCAATGCTGTATAACAGTACAGAACAAACTTGCCCCTTTTTTTTTTCGTTTGTCAGACCCTTAATTCTTCTAGACACATAATGGATCATATGGGCCGCGCAAAAGTGGGGGTAGTTTATATTCTTCGATTTCATGTATTACCTGTACATTTCCCAGTGACCGATTCGCTATGTTCTGTTTAGATATACTTTAAAATCTTCTGAGTTGATGAACACAAAACTGCCTGAATCAGTGCCCATGAGTAGGCTATTTCCACTATCCTAGGGACTACTGATGTAAGGGCCTTGTTTTGGTAACAGCATTCAGGAACCTCTGCAGAAAATGTTGTATTTCCGAAGAATGTTGATCATAGTCAACATTTCAGAAACAGAGATGCCTGTACGTCCTTCTATGGGGTTGGGAATTACAAGTGCATAGTACAGTACACCTTTATTTTGACTAGATAGTTTTTTTTACAAATTTTAGTTTTTTTGTTACAATTGAACTAGTTGCGCAAGTTGACAACTGAGCCTTTTCTGAGCTGGTCAAGGTACAATTGCGCTTGTTCATATAACAGGGTATTGCTAAACCCCGCAAACCTCCAAAAAAACAGTGCAAACCCCATCCAAACCTTGTGATAGTGATTGAATCATGTAGTGTAGGACTCGCTTGGTATCTCAGTAAAAAAAAATTGTAATTTTATGTTCGTCACAACCTATTTTTGGGGTAAAAAGGCATTTTTTGTATTAAAAAATTGCTAAACCCCGCAAACCTAAAAAAAAACACCGCAAACCCCATCCAAACCTTGTGATAGTGATTGAATCATGTAGTATTATAGGACTCACTTGGTATCTCAGTAAAAAAAAAATATAATTTTATGTTCATCACAACCTTTCACTTGGTATCTCAATAGAAAAATTAATGTTATGTTCATTACTTTTTTGGTAAAATGTTATTTGTGAAGAAATATGAAAATTCACCGCAAACCCTGCCCACCTTCCCCTACCACCCTCCCTTATTACAACTGTGATTGTACTAAATAGATGCTACAGTACATCCCAGTAAATTATTTAATCTATTCCATGTTTACAAGAATCCATTTTTGTAAACATGGAATGGATTAAATTTTTTTTTTTCATGTTTACAAGAATCAATTTTTGGTGTAAAATGTCAATTTGTCGTGAAAAATAACTGTTTTTATTTGTATTAAAACCATGATTGATTTGATGATGGACAAAATAACATACAATGAAAAAAGACACAAAAACAAAACTTATATATTAGTTACCAATGCCATCGAACATTTAATACTGTAAAATTTTTGGTATTCAATTGATTTTTCATACATATCAGTACATTTATGGCTTTCTGCTAGTTTTGTGGGCACGTTTAGTATGCCTTTGATTTTTTTTCTTTCCACTATTACAAGGTGGATTAACTGTTGTAAATTTACCATTTGTGGAGTTTGACATACTATTACTCTTATCTTTAGGTTTAAATACTTTAAACATATTATAATGGTCAATTCGTCTATCCTCTGCCATTACAGTCCACTTTAACTGGTCCAGTTCAAATGTTTTGAAATTCTTTGATAGTTCAAAACCTCCCATTCTAATAAATGACATTTTAACATCTTTAACTTTCGTGACCTTTTACCATTTTCTCTAACATCTGTATGAGTTCTGGTAATTTCTTTTGCTTCCAGTCAACAAATGACTTAATCGCATGATTCATTGACTCATTACTGTTGTTCGTCCAACCAACTTGAACACAATCTCTGTGCTTCCAAACCTTTTCCTTAACTCTTGGTAATAACTTATCATTTATATAACAAAAAGCATCTGGGGCAACAGTTGACACAGACTTAACAATTCTTTTTCAATTTCAAACGGTTCTTCAGACTCTGTTTCTAATAATTTTACAGTCTTTGCATGTATTATTTTCCTTACTGATCTAATTACTCCAACCTTGTGTGTTAAATATTCTTTCAGATTGTCCAGCAAATGTTTTTTACATAATATATGTTTACATTGAAATGTATCTACACATGCCTTGTGCATTGCTACTTCATCATCTGTGCCGATAATTAACTTAGAAAAATCCTTAACCCCAATGTTGACCAAGCTATATTTTAAAAATGAATAAAACTCAGAGAAAGCCATCTGATCACTTTTATGGTTAATAAAAATCTACAACAATGTGGCTATTATTAGATCATTAGATATTTACTGCAATTTAGCTATTATTCGGCTGAAATTAAAAATCTACAGCAATTTGGTTAATTTTTGAAAGATAATTCTTCCCTCCCTCAGTCTATCTGCATGTTATTAGTCCATCAGCTATGTGAATTTTATATTTGTATCGAATACTGCAATTGATGATTTAACATATTATGTAAAGGCATTCTTAAATAAATAGTAGAACCTTCAGTTTACGGAATGAAGGTGCCTTTCCTGTAACACCATACGGTTTATTAGCTAAAAAAAAATAAAAACTAAGACATGTAAATTGAAAGTTTTACTACATTATTCTCACTCAGCTGTCACCACTACTTTGACAATCTCAACTCAAATTATAATTATTTCTTTAAAAACTCATTTATTTAGGTATAACAAACATTTTCATATATTTACAAATTTTATTTTTACAGTTATGTAAGCTTGTAACAAATTATTTACATATTTGAATGTTTACAGTTATGTTAGATTTTAACAAATATACTTACATATTAACACACACATTTATATATTTTATATATACATATATATATATATATAATTATATATACACAAATGTTTCCATTTTATTTCAGCTTGTAACAAATATATTACATATTCAGTTATTTCAGGTTTTAACAAATATACTTATTATTCTATTTGCTAACGTTCCTGGCTTTGCCAACCGCGTCTGCAAACACTTTATTCATCTGTGTTCCGCTAGGTATTTCCCATTTGTTTTGTTTACAATAGCTGAAAATAAATTCTGAAAGAAAATCAATAAAAAAAAAATAATGACATAATTTATACCAAAGATTGGGAATATAAGGAAAGGCAGTAACACAAAACAACATATTTATTTATGTTAAGGATTGACACCTACACCTCCCTTGGCTTTCCTCATGCCGAATCCACCTGAATTAGCTAATTCCAACTCTGTAAAAATTGCCTTCACTAGACCTCGCAGGAGCCGCCTGCCATAGTTGCCGCAATTGGCTACACAGGCAGACCACTGCGAATTTGTTATATACACATTGTCTGAATTCATCAGTCGCTTTCCGCCTGATTCCTAAGAAAAATGTTTAAAAAAATTATTTTAAAATAAACAAAAATAGATCTTTAAAAATAGTAAAAGTATCATTAAACATCAGCTGTTTAAATAACAGTAAAGCAGATTATGGTTTACAACATTTCTCAGCCAAAGACTATCACCAAATCGTTAAAATAATTTTTATGTTTGAAAATGTGGAAAATAACAATGTAGCATGATATTTAGATATATAAAGTTTTGTTTATTTACAATAAAATAGATTTTAAAATTGTTGACATATTTTGCCCACTATCTCCAAAACACAATTTTCGAGGAGTGACTGGCTTTTAATAAGTTAATTAATAAGCTTAATAATAAGACTGGCTTAAATTCTCATAACGCTATGAAAAGGTAGTAAAAAAAATTTAAATTGGATGTTGATGAGTAAAACATTACATAAAAACTTAGTCATAATCGATGACGGCCTGTGTTTCTTTAATAGCATTTCTAAGAAATTAAGTGGCTTTTAGTAAGTATTGTTTCTGAAAAAAACGAAATGGACATAGTGGAACAGCTACAGTATTACAATAAATTACTATCTGTACAAACCTAGTTCTTTCTGGCCATGGTCTGGCATCTGATGCAAAGCACGGCATTACTGGCAGGGCTCCGTATTTTCAAGCATTTCTAAAAAGAATCCATTTAACGACAAATCTTCGTATAAACTGTTTACATCCTATATTACGGCTTTGTTGGAGCTGGAATGGCTGCCGGAGCTGGTGGGAATTGGATGTTGATGAGTAAAACAGTACATAAAAACTTAGTCATAATCGATGACGGCCTGTGTTTCTTTAATAGCATTTCTAAGAAATTAAGTGTCTCCTCTGATGGTACTGAAAAAAGAAGAAAATATATATTTTGGTTTAACAATATTGGTAAACAAACCACCTTTACTTTTGGTCTAAAGTAACTTCATTTGTATATGGCGCTAGAATGTAATTTCTTTTCAATGTATCGCTGATTGAAGCAATTGCCTTAGTAAGTTTTAGGGTAAAGCAACTTCCTTTTAGTAAGTATTGTTTCTGAAAAAAACGAAATGGACATCCGTTCGATTGTGCTAACTGGGTTTCGAACTTAGCGTTCACTTGAGCCATAAGGGTTTCGAACTTGGAGTCCAGTTGGACTACTCGAGCTTCCATTGCGGCCAATCGACTACTAGTATTGTCCCCCGAAGGCTTCTGATTCGGAGTACCCGGTCTCCTGTTAGGATAGCTAGATTTGCCACCCCTATTAGATCTACCCCCCACTTGTCTAACTCTATGCTGGGAATCTTCCTCATCTTCATCCTCCTCAGAAGCCGAAGAGTGTAAGGGCAAGTGATAAGAAGCAGTGGCAGATTCAACATGGGCTTTAATTACCTCCTTGGACGACCTACCCCTCCTGTTAACATACAACCCATTGAGGCTTACGTATTGCTCATATTCTCTTAGTGCTTCAGAGTCCCTGCACCCTAGACAAAACCTTATGGCTGCCTGTTGCCTAATCCAAGATTTAGGAAGGGCGCCATAGACCTTTCTTGTCATAGTGAGGACCCTATCTCCCCACTTATCTACAGTTTCGTCCTCCCGCTGTGAGGAGGCTTCTTATTTAGCTTGCAAAACTTCTGGAAGGTCATCTTCCTCATATCGCTTGTCAAAAGCGCTCATAATTTTTCGAAAGTAAATATGTCTATCCATTCCAATAAGATTGACATAAAACTCGGCCGCACTCCCCTCCACACACCAACAGAGTGCGTCCGTTCTTTCCTTTTCCGAAAGCTCCTGCTCTTCTGCGAACCTGAAGAATCGCCAGTTTTCCTTCCTGTTAAACGTTAAAGTCTTTGGAATATCTTTATACTTGAATGACGTACCCCTTTGTCTTGGTGGAGCCCTCCTTTCAGTAAGCCTTATAGTTCTTAAAAGCTTGGCATACCCCTGAGAATCATCAGATTCTCATTCACTTTCCTCCCCAGAATTCGGGTTAACATCCTGATCACTATGCTCGTCCCCCCAAACGGCTATTTCTACTTCCAGAAGGATTATGGTGGTGGCTTTGAGGTTCTTACTGAAAATGAGGTTTGACACTGAGTCAATTTGGAAAAACCTTGACCCTCCAGCACTGGATTGGGAGTAAAGTCGAATTCTTTAATTAACTTATAACCCCCTCCAACGTCTTTAATATCACCTAAACTTGTTGGATAGATGTTACCATAACGGGACCTCCACAGAGTAATCTTCTCCCCCCATTTTTTACCAACATTAGGGATAGCGTAAAGATCCGCAACATCGCAGAAATTTATCTTAATTTTACCAAACCTATTCACGCTCAGAGAGAAACCGAAATAGGTGTTGGGAAAGACTCGCAGATACCGGTCTATGATCTCAGCTGTCGATGCGAAGTTATGCAGCATAAGCTGCTGATCGCGTAGGCTATTTAGCAGGCGGAGGATGTTGAGACCTTGCAGGAAGCATTCTTCCGCTGTCTCATCCTCCGCCATGCCCCGGAGATGCAAACATATCACCAGATGGCGTTGGCGCATGTAGCACTCCCCCAGAATGCGCTTCAGAAGATCGTCCTGTCTAGAACAGTCTTATGTGAGCTGGGTGTGCTCTAGACCAATCTTGCCCAGCACCTTGACATCTCTTGACCCAGACAGAGCTCTCAGCCGCTCGAACTGGGTTGCCGTCTTCTTTTTGGGATGAATCACAATGCCAACATCGCAATGGGGTTGGCGCACAACAGGGCTAATCTCCCTGAAAGTGGGGTAAGTGGCAGGATCGCAGTATACTGCGATTCCACCCCTCACAGCGACAGTTTAGGACACCCTCCGGCCCTCCCTACTTCGATTAGGCCTTCAGATACAAACCTAAAGCTCTGCGTAGCCGGTCTAAATAGAAGTTCAAAAACTCGAGGCCGCGCTTCTGGGACCTAACGCGATGTATGGGTCACCCCTTGAGCATCAGGCCCTGCAGTAGTTGGGAAGTCGCTTGCTTAGCTTGCTCGCGAGCCCCCTGAGCATCAGTTCCAGCATCTTGCTGCGCCTTCCTCTTCTGAGGGGGGTTCACAGGTATAGGAAAAGCCACTTTCGGCTTCTGCGACAATCCTCTGGAATGCCCCCTCCTGATTCCCGTTTGCCCCAATGCTTCCCGCAGCTTGATCATTGCAGCCCGAGTCCTAACATCGATAGTCTGATGTTCTCCCGGTTCCTCCGTGGATTGCTCCCAGTAGCCTGTTCACCAGATCATGGAGAGAAGCTCCCTCACCAACAATGTGCTGGGCCAGCCCCTCCAGTACCTTTAGCTGAATGTTAATTTGGCGCTTCGTGCACCGGAGCTAAGGTTTGAAGCAAGCCAGGGCGTGACTAGCTAGGATGTGGATGCGCATGTTCACCACGTTGTTGTTATTGTTTAATAAACAAATATAACAAATGTTATTGTTTATTATACAATATACAGGTCTGATTACTAAATTTAATGTTATTTCTTAAAGCTGTATCATCAAATTTAACAAAACTGACAACATTTCCAACCTGGACCATTTCGTTAAAAGGTCATGTGACCTTTTTAATTTAAGGTTGTTTGATATGAAATTAATATATTTATTGAATTAAGTACTTACCCACCTTGAGCCAGGGCAAGTTGTATTATTCTGGGTTGTCTAGACATTTAATATTATTGGGACCGTTGGGCACCTGGACCATTTTGTTAAAATAGGATCATGTGACCTTTTTAATTTACAGTTACTTGATATGAAATGACATTCAATAATTCATTGGGAACATTGGGGACCTAAAATATATGGTTATATGATAAATGAAATAAATATACAGTAATACAAAATATTTATTGATTTGAATTTAGTACTTGCCCGTTTTAAGTGAGTTGAAGTTGTATTATTATGGGTTGTCTAGACATTGAATGATTCATTGGGACCATTGGGCACATGGACAATGCCATTAAAATTGGGTCATATGACCTTTTTAATATACAGTTTTTTGATAAATGAAATTAATATAATACAACATTTTTATTGATATAAAATGGGCACTAAGTACTTGCCAGCCTTAAGCCAGGGCAAGTTGTATTATTATGGGTTGTCCAGACATTCAGTGACACTTCAAATATGCGGTTTTATATGATAAATATAATACAATATATTACTTTAGTGATAAATATTTCTGGGTTGTCCAAACATTGATTCATTAATGGGGTCATGTGACACAATTAATAAATAAGGCCCTCTTTAACACGCTCATAAAGTGGTCATAATATATTTAAGTTTTGAATATAGGTCTGTAAATCAATTAATATTTGATTATTATTCTTAAAATTATAATGATGTTTTTTCCTGTGTCATTGTTGCTGCTTTGTACCATTATATAATTACCAGGCGCAGATCCATACATCCTGACCCTAATATTTTTTTTTATGTGGCCCTACTATAGCTTTTCCCCTTTTGGAAAGTTTTAAAAAAACAGGAAGAAAATGAAAAAATTTATTGCCCAAAACGACTCAGGAGTTATTTTCTGGCGCCTGGTCTGGGACATTTCTCTTTAATGGTCCTTATAGCCACACCCTACTCAGGATCAGTTTTGTCCTTAGAACAGGACAAAACATTCTAGAAAATTTCATTCAGATCCAGTGATCAGTTTTTGAGATATTTATGTCTGGGTCTTTGGTCTTTTCAATGACACCCCAATTCACACCCGAACATTGGTGCATCTGAAGGGGGATCAGGAGTGTCCTGAGGGTCCTGACCCCCACCCCCTTGGGCAAAAAAACCCCAGAAATTCCTCTCCCCCTTCCCCCCAAAATAGCTGAGAGCTGAAATTTTGTTGTTACAATGGGAAAATTATTAGTCAGGAAAGCTCATTTCCCGCCATCTATGAATCAAAATTTTCATAGGGGAGGACCCCGACCCCTTTCTTTTTGGGGTTCATCGATTTATGGAAAAGAGAATACATATGAAGCTACTCAAATGTTTTTTTATGTATGTATATGGAAAAGGCTTGGTGAAATTGTATAAGACAATTGTAAGACCATCCTTGGAGTATGGTAACGTTATTTGGTGTCCTTCATATGAGAAAGATGCTGATACACTTGAAAAAGTTCAGCAGAGAGAACTTGACTTCTACCTGGATCTCAGTTATCCTGAACGTCTAATTCATCTTCAACCTTCCAACACTAGCGTATAGAAGGAAACAAGCTGATGTAATGGGATCTTTAAAATCTTAAAAGGAATTGACAATCTTAGAACGGAAGGTTTTTTTTATTCTGGATTCTGCATCCCGAACCAGACATTCATTAAAAATCGAAAAACCTAAAGCTAAGGCAGTTTAGCTTTGCAGTGAGAGCAATTAATGACTGGAATAACTTACCGGAAACAGTTGGAAAAGCTTCGTCTATAAATAAATTCAAAACAGAGTTAAGGAAACACTGGATATCACACCCACTGAAGTTTAACCCTTATGAGAGCATGGCAGGGAGTCCAGAGAGGGGCACATAAGCAATTGCTTAAAGCCTAACACCAAAAGTATACCAAAAGTAAGTATATACACATAATAGGCCTATTTACTGACATAATAAAGATGAGAAAAATGAAGCTGACCTTTTTTAAAAGGGGGAAAACCTTGAATTTTGAAGAACGTGAAAGTCATTAAAAGACACTTCAGAAGTCAGGAAAGCTCATTTTCCACCATCTAGCTGTTCTCTTTGGAGTCCAGTATATCGAAAAAAGAATACTTATACTTTAACCAAGGCTGTTATGCAGAATTGTTGATCCTAGAAATGAATGGTGGGAAATCAAGACTGATTTTTTTTTTATTAACCCTGTTAAAGTATACTGGTACTTGAAGCTTATAGCAATGTCAGAACTGAACTGTGCAAGTCAAATTTTTTGATATAAAATTTTGTGAAATAAAGACTGATTTGTTTGAATCTTTGCTACGTACCTGTTACCTGAAGTTTAGCCAACTGATGTATGGAGACACATACGGTACGGTAGTCACGGACCATGCCCATACGCAATTCAGAACTGCAAGTTGTAGGTTATTCTCCAACCTATTCCTTTACCTTTATATATCTGAACCAAAAATAATAAGATAATGCAATCATCCTCCATAATATGTCCTCAGTATTGTTAGAAATTATCAATAACAGACTTCCTATAATATGCAATCAGCCTGTTACAGTATCTGTCTTTATATATTTTCAAATTGCTTGCAATACAAACCAAGGTATTTGTATGAATTATGTTCATAAATGTGGCTACTGTAAATCTCATTGTCTTATTGGTTTTTTTAAACAATTATTAAGAAGCAGAATAAAAGAATGCCATTACAGTATAGGTTTGATTTTGTTCTTTTATATTTTTTTTTGTAGAGCGCTATGTTGGTACAGTCGGCCAGAATGTTAAGAAGCAGTGGTGTTCAGCTTCAGGATGAGTAGTTAAACATTGAGAGAATGATAGCAACAAGAATACAGTGTGCTGGTAAGTGAAGAAATATTTAATTTTTTCATCCAATTGTGATGTAGGCTACTAGAACGTTATCTTATAGCCATACTGTAGTTAATAATCTCAATTTTGTTATCATAAATGTTATTATAAAATTATTGTTTAAAATATTTTCTTTTTCCATTCTCTTTACCATAAAGGGCAATAAAATAGTGTTGTTATAAACATTCGCCAATCTTAAATTAAAAATTGTACTATATACATGGTTTTTATCTTCTCGGTTTTACAGTTTTTCTTAATTGTGCAATACAATATCATCATCATCAACATAAATTTTATTTACCCAGTATCATGAAACTTACATCTGATAGCATGGAGGTATAATACCGCCATTTTATCAGAAAGCTGTCCTAGATAGGCAAGATTAACAAGTATTAACTTGGGATGTGTTATAGTCAAGTTTTATACAACTGATGTTGGTGTTGGATATATATAAATACAAACCCTACAAAATAATGTTATTTAAGAATTAATTTAAATTAATATTACAGATTTACTTTTAAACAATTTTTATCATTGTAAGTCTTAATATTTGTTGGTTAAAATTTAAATCTAATAATATCATTTTTTTTTATTACAGGCTCTTTGCTAGTTGACTCATTTGCATAATTCACCAGACCATGTTCTCATCACAACAGACACTTGAAACTACAAAAATCAGGAAACTGCTAAAATGACACCATAGCAAGAGTAATTAATATTACAAATTTACTTTTAAACCATTTATATTAATGTAAGTCTTAATATTTGTTGGTTAAAATTTAAATCTAATAATATCATTTTAATACTCATTTGTATAATTCACCAGACCATGGTCTCATCACAACAGACACTTGAAACTACAAAATCAGGAAATTGCTGAAATGTAAAATGTATTTTAATGCGAGAACTGAATTTCCTACTTGGAGCAATAAAGTGTATCTACCATTTTTATTAATGCAAGTCTTAATATTTGTTGGTTAAAATTTAAATCTAATATGTTTTGGTGACTTTTAATGTTTTAATGGTCGCTATTTGATATCTCTTTTACATTGTAATTATTATATTTTATTATATTTGTTCAATTGTCAATTGTATTTTAATGCGAGAACTGAATTTCCTACAATAAAGTGTATCTTATCCTATCTTATCATTTTTTTTATTACAGGCTCTTTCCTAGTTGACTCATTTGTATGATTCACAGGACCATGGTCTCATCAAAATGATGTAATGATAATGAATATTCATTGGCAGACACTTAAAACTACAAAAATCAGGAAACTGCTGAAATGACACCACAGCAAGAGCAACTTCTAGATAGCATATATAGCTTTCAGTCGATAGTGGGCGGGTGGTGGGACCTGGGATTTCACCGCAGCGAATAATTTTCAAAAATTTAGGAGGGTGGGTGGCCAACCCACTACTTCATATAAGATTTGAACTATGTTGTTGTTTCACTAAGACTAATTTGAATATCAAACAAAAAGGTTTTTACTACAGTTTCTACAACCTATAATACGTTAATTGCATTGCATAAATTCTGTAGTTAACCTTCAGAGAACTTAATTTTAATAAATGGCCTAATTAAGTATCTTTGTATACTTATGTATGTGAGTATGTGTTCCATATGTGTTTTTGATCCAATGACCGGGATAGTAATGTGAAGCGCCTAGAGGCTTTGTGCATGAAGCGCTATATAAGACCAACATATTATTATTATTATTTTGGTTAAAATGTATGTAATATTATTACGTTAGCTTGGTGGTATACTGTAAGCCAATCAGTTATACTTACTTCTTTATCGTTTACATAAGCAGAACTAGAGCCTCTCACCTTAAATAGTGCCTACTTCTGCCCCGTGCCTAAATACAGAATTTACGCAAGGCGGGCTGCAATTCCATTGTTTTCTTCATGCTCGAGGATATATGTTTCAATGAAACTTTACAGACGCGTGTTTTACAAACGTCAGTCAATATTGTACACGCATATATATATATGTATATGTATATATATATGTGTGTATATATATATATAAAATTTGTATAATTTACATCAGCATCTCAACAATCAATACACAATTTAGAACAGGTGCGACCGAAATATTTGTGATCAATAAAAGTTATGTTTCGTTATATGTCAACTTAGTATTTCATTTGTTTACTTATACTGTTCAACTATATAATCCAGGATATACTGTACATGCACCCAGCATTTTGATGCCTCCCTCCCTCTCTCTCTCTCTCTCTCTCTCTCTATCTATATATATATATATATATATATATATATATAAATTATAACATAGGTAAGCATGTGTGTTCGAAGTAAGATAGAAAAATATGGAGATGATGGTAAATGAAAATACAGACATTGATGGTAGATTGAGGAACACAAAAATATTTATTTAATTAATTCACAGATATTTTGGTTGTTCCTACAACCTTCTTCAGCATGTAAGTGAAGACATAATCAAATAGCTTTGATAGAACTGAATTTCCTACTTGGAGCAATAAAGTGTATCTTACCTTATCTTATCATTTTTTTTTATTACAGGCTCTTTGCTAGTTGACTCATTTGTATGATTCACAGGACCATGGTCTCATCAAAATGATGTAATGATAATGAATATTCATTGGCAGACACTTAAAACTACAAAAATCGGGAAACTGCTGAAATGACACCACAGCAAGAGCAACTTCTAGATAGCATATATAGCTTTCAGTCGATGGTGGGTGGGTGGTGGGACATAGGATTTGACCGCAGCCAATAATTTTCAAAAATTTAGGAGGGTGGGGCCCTGGGCCGACCCACTACTTCATATAACATTTGAACTATTGTGTTGTTTCACTAAGACTAATTTGAATATCAAACAAAAAAGTTTTTACTACAGTTTCTACAACCTATAATACGTTAATTTCAATGCATAAATTCTGTAGTTAACCTTCAAAGAACTTAATTTTAATAAATGGCCTAATTAAGTATCTTATTTATTTGTATACTTATGTATGTGAGTATGTGTTCCATATGTGTTTTTTGATCCAATGACCGGGATAGTAATGTGAAGCGCTTAGAGGCATCCAGTATATACTGTACCTGTCTCTTATACACATCTAGATGTGTATAAGAGACAGATGGTATACTGTAAGCCAATCAGTTATACTTACTTCTTTATCGTTTACATAAGCAGAACTAGAGCCTCTCACCTTAAATAGTGCCTACTTCTGCCCCGTGCCTAAATACAGAATTTACGCAAGGCGGGCTGCAATTCCATTGTTTTCTTCATGCTCAAGGATATATGTTTCAATGAAACTTTACAGACGCGTGTTTTACAAACGTCAGTCAATATTGTACACGCATATATATATGTATATGTATATATATATGTGTGTATATATATATATATAAAATTTGTATAATTTACATCAGCATCTCAACAATCAATACACAATTTAGAACAGGTGCGACCAAAATATTTGTAATCAATAAAAGTTATGTTTCGTTATATGTCAACTTAGTATTTCATTTGTTTACTTATACTGTTCAACTATATAATCCAGTATATACTGTACATGCACCCAGAATTTTGATGCCTCTCTCTCTCTCTCTCTCTCTCTCTCTCTCTCTCTCTCTCTCTCTCTCTCTCTCTCTCTCTCTCTCTCTCTCTCTCTCTCTCTCTCTCTCTCTCTCTCTCTCTCTTATATATATATATATATATATATATATATATATATATATATATATATATATATATATATATATATGTATAGGCCTACAAAAATATAAAATCTCTATAATTTACATCACTCAATCAATACACAATTTTAGAACTCCATAAAAATAAACAACTTTAGACACAGTTTAAAAAATAATAACACTGCAATAGGGACTAATTTATTTAAAAAAAATACATACATACATCCTATTTAGATTTTAAAAAAAATATCAAATTTGAATTAATACATTAATCAAGCAATATGTTTCTCTGATTTCAACCTTTTGTCAATTTGAATTTCACCCGTCCTGGATTTTATCCACCTCCTCATTATTGTTATGGCTTCCTTAATAGCTCCAGGGAGAACATCTACAGTATGCTTCTCTGATGCATCGTTCTTTTAATGTGTACAAGATTCCTATATATCACCCACCTCATTATTGTTATTATATTTGAATAAAAAAATATTATTGGTGATCCGCTAACACTAGCGGATCACCTCTTGTTATTGTCAGGATCATCATCATCATTGGTGATCCGCTAGCACTAGCGGATCACCTCTTGTTATTGTCAGGATCATCATCATCTTCATCTTTTTTTTATTCTTCTTTCTTTCTCCCCTTTTTGGTTCGCACGATATCTCAAAAACTGCCACGAGTTACGCAAAATCGATGTCAGCAAACATTTGGCTTGGTCTAGAATAGTCATGGTAAGCTTTTCAACGCGCTCAGTCATGCGTGACGTCAACTACGCGCAATTTTGCGTTTTTATATTATCGATCATATCAGCCTAACCAATTGCCATTTAGAAATCGTATTAAGTGAGCATTAACTTTGGGTTAATGTTGAATGTACTATACCCTAAATTGACGGGTGCGCGTCACTACGCGGGCGTACGCGTGCGTCAAAATTTCAAAATGCTTTAAATCACTTTTTGACTAAATTAAAGCACGTTTCAGGCCATTTTGAG